CAATTTTTAAAAGTACATATGAGAATGTATAAGGAAATTCATATAATCTGGTCTCTTCACATTCAGGAAGCAATCACGATACATATTTAGCCCACTCTATTATATATACTAGATGCCCAGTGCATGACATTTGTGCATTGGAGTGGGGGGGTCCCTCAGCCCTTGCAGTCCGGAACCCCTGGGGGGATGTCTGCTTGCTGGGTTAGGCCTGGACCTAAGCTGGCAATCAGACATCCTCCGAGGGGTCCTTAGTGCTGCTGTGGAGGCGGGAGAGGCTCCCGCCACCACTGCTGCACTTGCCAGCTATGAGCCCAGCTTCTGGCTGAGTGGCGCCCCCCATTGTGGGAGTGCACTGATCACCAGGGGGAAGCTCCTGCATTGAGCATCTGCCCCCTGCTGGTCAGTGCGCGTCATAGAGACCGGTCGTTCTGCCATTTGGTCAATTTGCATATTACCCTTTTATTATATAGAATAATAAGATACTACTCAGCAAGTATGTGCCTGCAACCAAGGTATATGACCTTGACCGGAATCGAACCTGAGTCCTGCGACCCTTGAGTCCACAGGCCAAATGCTCTATCCACTTAGTCAAACCTCAAGGGCATGTACCTGAGTTACAGGCACATCCCCAGTGGGAGATGTGTGGGAGGCAGCTGATTGATGTTTTTCTCTCATCAAAGTTTCTAACTCTCTATCTCTCTCCCTTCCTCTCTGTAAAAAATCAATAAAATATATATTTTTTAAAAATACAGTATTACCTATTATATGTATATATACATATTATATAATGCATATTATACATATGCTTTTTAATATTTATATTTTTGCTATTTATATTTTACTATTTAAGCAGTACCCATTTACTTTAGACAAGTCCATTTATTATGTGCTATGAAAAATAAGAGATGTAAAATAACTGTACACTTCTCATATCCATTGTCTATAGAACTTTAGTATTTTATATACAGGTTGATTTAATAATTAAACCAATAGATAGGATTTTACAGTGTTTTGAACATATAAATAATAATAACTATTGAGTGAATAAAAAGTATATTATTTCTAGAGGCCCAGTGCATGGATTTGTGCACCAGTGGGGTCCCTTGGCCTGGCCTGCACCCTCTCGCAATCCGGGACCTATTGGGGGATGTCGGACTGCCAGTTTTGGCCCGATCCCTGCAGGCCAGGCTGAGGGACCCCACTGGTGCATGAATCCGTGCACCATGCCTCTAGTATGCATAAAAGATCTTTGGTTAATCTCTTCCTGCCCTTTCCCCTTTTCTTCTTCCCTCTGAGATTCATCAGTCTGTTCCATGTTTCCATGCCTATGCCCCTGGTAGTCAGTGTGTGTCATAGCTATCAGTCGAATGGTCAAACAGTTGAATGGTCACTTAGGCTTTTATATATATAGATACTAGCAAAGAGCTTTGACAGACGAGGATCTTTTAGGCATCAGGGTCTAACAGCTTCTTAATTTTTTTCTATCTTCTATGCGCAAAACCTGCCACGGAAAATTAAACCTCCTCTTTCTTTCCTTGGAATTGTTTGCTCTTTTTCTGGAATAACTCTTGAGGTTTTTTAAAAATAGTGTGAATAAATGGTAAACATTGAGTTATTTTATTAATGAAAATATCTTTGCTTGCCCATCATATCTGATTGATAATTTGGCTAGGTATAAAGTCCTAGTTTTCAGATCTTTCTATCTTAGCAGAAATAACATTTGTAACTTCAAGGAAGCTTCTTTAAAGGGGTGGTACCCATTCTTCATTGTGGCCTTTCTTGAATCTGCTGTTTAAAATGACATATGAAGACAATTGCCTCATTTTCTCTTTAGTTTCCATTGCCCTAAGAGCTGTATCAGTAAAGATATTGCTACGACATATGTCTGCTATTTTGCTGCTTATGGAGTCTTGTAGGATATTTATGGTTTCCCGTTTTACATTTAAGTCCTTTAGGCATTTTGAGGTTTTTTGTTTGTTTGTTTGGGTTTTTTTTTGTATATGGTGTAAGTTGGTGATCTAGTTTCATTTTTTTTTTTTTTGCATGTTACTGACCAACCTTCCCAACACCATTTATTGAAGAGACTGTCTTGACTCCATTGTATGGTCTTGCCTCCTTTGTCAAATATTAATTAAGCATAATGGCTTGAGTCAATTTCTGGGTTCTCTGTTCTGTTCCATTGGTCTATATGTCTGTTCTTGTGCAAGTACCAGGCAGATTTGAGAACCATGGTTTGGTAAGATAGCTTGATATCTGGTATTGTAATCCCTCCAACATTTTTCTTCATTCTCAAGATTGCTGCAGCTATTCGGGGTCCTTTTTTATTCCAGGTGAATTTTTGGAGAGTTTGCCCTAGGACTTTGAAATATGTCGTTGGTATTTTAATGGGGATTGCATTGAATCTATAGATTGCTTTGGGTAGTATGAACATTTTAATGATGTTGATTCTACCAATCCATGAACATGGTATGTTCTTCCATTTGTTTATGTCTTCCGCTGTCTCTTTTTTCAATATCCTGTAGTTTACTGAGTACAGGTCTTCTGCCTCCTTAATTAAGTTTATTCCTAGGTATCTTAATTTTTTTGGTGCAATGGTAAATGGGATTGTTTTTTACTTTCTCTTTCTGTGAGTTCATTATTGGCGTATAAAAAGGCCATAGATTTCTGGGTGTTAATTTTGTATCCAGTTACATTGCCGAATTCATTTATTAAGTCTAATAGTTTTTGATGGAATTTTTGGGGTTTTCAATGTACAGTATCATGTCATCTGCAAGTAAGGGCAGTTTTACTTCTTCTTTTCCAATTTGGTTGCTTTTTATTTTTTCTTCTTGTCTGATCACTTGATTAACACTTCCAATACTATATCAAACAGGAGTGGTGAAAGTGGGCATCCCTGTCTTGTTTCTGTTGTAAGGGGAGTATGGTGTCGGCTGTAGGTTTGTCATATAAGGCTTTTATTATGTTGAAGTGTGATCCCTTTATTCTCACCTTGCTGAGAGTTTTTATAAAGAAAGAATGTTGGATTTTGTCATATGCTTTTTCTGCACCAATTGCTATGATTATGTGATTTTTGTCTTTCAATTTGTTTATGTGATGTATCACATTTATTGACTAGTGGGTATTGTACTATCTTTGCATCCCTGGAATAAAACCCATTTGGACATGGTGTATGATCTTTCTAATGTAATGCTGGATCTGATTTGCTAGAATTTTGTTGAGGATTTTAGCATCTATGTTGAAGGATATTGGCCTGTAGTTCTCTTTTTTTGTGGTGTCATTATCTGGTTTTGGAATTAGGGTAATGCTGGCTTCATAGAAAGATCTTGGATGTGTGCCTTCCTCTTGAATTTTTTGCAATAGTCTGAGGATAGGTTTTTGTTCTTTGAATGCTTGGTAGAACTCCCCTGTAAAGCTGTCTGGCCCCGGGCTTTTTTTTTTTTTGCCGGAAGATTTTTGATTATTGCTTCAATTTCCTAATCTGGTTTTTTGATACTTCCTGATTAAGTTTTGGGAGCTTGTATTTTTCTAAGAATATGTCCATTTCATCTAGGTTGTCCAGTTTGTTGGAATAGAATTGCTCAAAGTATTTTTTTTATAATCCCTTGTATTTCTGTGGGATTGATTGTTACTTCACCTTTTCATTTCTGATTTTGTTTACTTGGGCCTCTCTCTGCTTCTTGGAGAGCCTGGCTAGAGGTTCATCAATCTTGTGTATTCTTTCAAAGAACCATCTCTTGGTTTCTTTGATCTTTTGTATTTTTTTTTGTCTCTATCATTTATTTTTGCTCTGATCTTTATTATCTCCTTCCTTCTGCTTACACTGGGCTTTTCTTGTTGCTCTTTAACTCTTTGAGTTGTAGGGTTAGATAATTTGTTATCATTGTTTCTTGTTTTTTGA